AAAATTCATGACCTGTTCCATTAGTAAAATCTTCACATCTCTAAATAAAATCCGAGTAGATTATTATCGAAATTTAACAATATTTTAGTTAATGAAAAAACTCAATTTAAAAATTTTTTAAATAGATTAAATATGTAAATTATCGAGAAGATACGATTCAAAGTATGTAAAAAAAATTACGGTACTAGATTTCAAATGGCATCTCAAAAATTTTCTATTTAGAAATTTCACTCAGTCCATTGAGCTGTATTGAAATTTTCTAAATATACTAATATGCAAAATTTTGAGGATACAATTTAAAAACTAGTAATTTTTTATATATATTTTGAATAGTATCTTCTCGATAATTTACATATTAACCTATTTAAAAATTTTATAGAGTAGCTCAAAAAATAGCATACTTTAATATAAATAGATGCTTTTCGTTGAAGATATTGCTAAATTTTTACTTAAGGTATACAGTATAGTGATCTACATATAGGCTAAACAAAAATCTTTCTGATTGACCTTTATATAGAACAATATACCGTATAAATTTTTTTTATATGGCCATAGCGCATTTAAAACTCAAGCGTATGACGATCAGGAAAAACCTGTAAATCATGCTTTCTGAATATTTACTTTTAATAAAAATAACTTGAAAAACAAAGTAATTGAATCACTGCTCGACAACTTGATCTAATTCGTACTCACATGGACTTACCACAGGATCTTCGCATACCTACAATTTCAATGTTATTCGAATCGTTTCATTAATGCAATTCAAATGATATTAAAATAATAATTTAAATACTTTTATGAAATGTAAATATTCAAAAGGTATGATCACTCAAATATAATGCCTTTAGTGCTTGGTGATTAGATTAGATAAATGATATATTGTTAAAAGCATAAACCAAACCAGTGAAAACTTAAGAATATAAAGAAATAATGGGGTTTTAAAAAAGTCCACGACGATATACACAACTACTATATAGAAATTGAGATATCTTAATACGCAGTAACTACATACTAAATATTATATTAACTGTTAAATTTAATAATTACTACGTATGTAGTTACTGCGCATTAAGATATCTAAATTTCTGTATAGTACTTGATGGCTTCAAATTTTCAAAAGGGTCTCAACGTTTTTAAAATATATTGAATCAAGAGTCTATAAACGCTAAGTATTTAACACTATCAGTTATAAAAGCGCGTGATCAAACATGTGATTGAAAGGCGTAATCAATTTCCCGTAATTAGCAACTGTCCAATTAAAATACGTGATGTAAATTGGTGAACTTTGTACTATCATTGTACGATATTTGGTCGGACAGGAGTTTGACAGATTTCCTTTATAAAAAAAAACATTCATCAAAAATGTTACTTCTTCACGCAATGGATGAAAAATTAAGAGCTCCTCCTATCAATCCACTCCTCCTTCGTATCCGAACTTCTATTGCTTCCTTACGTTTAACCTCCTATGTAAATTATAACCTAATACCTGTTACCTCAACTCAATCTAACTTTCGACACCGACCATCGAGATCCTTATTCCCTAATTTTGTAAAGCGGAAATGGGGATACTTAGGTTTCTGTTTATTATTAATTTTAATAGTAATGGTACGTATTCAACTTAAAAGGAGTGTCGATCCTTTTGAAGAGACTCCTGCAATAACTGGGTGAGTGTCGTTTATTCGATTATCAATTAACTTTCTAACTCGTCATACTAGTTAGTGATCAAAATGATGATTGCAATAATGTTATATATTCATTGTTGATTTCAATCCTGGTAGGCCACCTTGAATCACCAAACAGTCATACATAGCTCTCTTTATATATCAGGCAAATAATTCATATTTACAACTTTTGTCGTTACTGAATTGATTTATTGTCTTCTTTTTGTTGATCGTATATTTTAAATAGTCATTCTTCTCAATCTCCTCCTCCTCCACGGCCGCCTCCGTTATTTTCCACTTTTACCGATAATTATCCAAAACAACTTGCAATTTTAATCGTACCGTCTTCCAACATGTCAATAAATACATATAGCAAGATGATAGTGGAGACTTGGGGTACTGTGGCAAAAAATAATAAAGCTTTAAGTGTAGATTTATGGTTTGCATCTTCTGAAGATACTTTAAGGAAATTTGGATGGCCTAATGTTCCTGGTTTCGAAGATGAGTCAAAAACTGACAAAACAAAATCAAAAGAAAAAAATAAAGATGGTTCTACGGAAATAGATAATACTTCTGAAGACTCTAAAACTTCTAAAGAAACTCCTGGAAAAGATAATCTTAAAGAAATGATGAGAGAACTTGTTGAACAAACTATGGTTTTTGAAGAACCTGCAGAATTAAGTAAAGAGCAAAAATCTTTTAGAACAGTTACTAAAGTATGTTCTTATACTTTTTTTTATTTATTTATTTTTTTTATTATTATTTAGTAATATTTAATGATGTATATCATTCTTATAAAAATTTCTTTCTATCAAATAGGCTCTTCATTTTCTTTATGCATACCATCTTGATCATTATAATTTTGTTTTAAAAATTACAGATAAAACATTTGTTCATTTGCCACGCCTCCTAGATTTACTTTCAAAAACAACACGTAAACCTCGACTAATAGGTCGTCCTGATATTGATTATGAAACTAATGTAAAATTTTGTTGGAATGGCCCTGGCTATATATTGAGCAAAGATCTTTTAGCTATTGTAGGCCCACACTTACCTTTTTGTCTTGAAGATAAATCAATTACTGAAGATATAGCATTAGAAAGATGTTTATATAATAATGCACCTACTTTTATGGGTTGTGAAGATTTTACTAATGGAACAGGTCATGAATTTTTGTATTTACGGCCAGATGATGATATAAATTGGGCAAATGTTGTTCATCCAGAACGACAATTCAGTGATGGTTATCTTGGAGGATGGACCTTTGCAAATTCTGTAATAGTCGGTGGGGTTACAAGTATTGAGACATTAAAAGAGTTACATAGTTGGTATGGTACAGGTGGAAAATATGAAAAAATAATCGAGAGGCGGATGATGTTACTTAGAAAAAAATTAATGAGGGGAACGACTGATAAACTGCGTCGAAGTAAGTTATAGAAAAGAATAATATGAAATAATAAAAGAGTTAGATTTGTGGTATAACCTATTGCTTGCGTAGATGGTTCTTTTTTTTTTAATTCCAATTTAGTAATTCACAATAATTTAATTATACTTACCGTCCAAACTATAAGTCAAATCTCAAACATAAAAAATCCATCCCAAATCTCAATTAGTTTTGCCGGAAAATATAAATTTAATCTTGCATGTAAAAAGAATATTTATTAATTTCGTATTAAAAATCATAGAATTCATTATTTACATTCCCTCTGTTTTGTGATGTAAAAATTCCGCACTTTGTTTTTTGTCATTTCTCATGATCCAAGGATTTTAATGTATAATGATAACAGACTACTTAAAAAAATAGTTCAAAATGAATTTGACGTAGTTTATAAAGCAGTGCCATCAAGGTAAAACCAGTAATTCTTGATTTTCGGAAATTTCACTTTTAGAAACAGATAATATCAGATTCTTATAAATCGTTGCTGAAAATGAAATTTCGTAAAACTAACAATTACTGGTTTTCCCTTGGCGTATGATTAGATGTTGATATTAAGAATACTGAGTTTATTCAGGAAACGCTAGAGAGGAATTGATCCCATAAATTTAAATAAAAAATCAAAGTTCGTTTTGATCATATTCCGTATATCGATATGTGTGTATAAATTTTGGCTTTGAAATGACATAGAAAATCTTATGAGAAAACAAAC